AATGTTGCTTGGACTATAATCCATATAACTGTTCAAAAGATCAAAATATATATATAATTAAAGACATCATATAACAGTCATAGCGCTTTCCCTTCCACATAACTTTCTATTAATGTGCTTTGATACAGCACTTTGGGAACATCCAACTTCTTTTGCAATTACCTTTTTTAGGCTTTCCCTCCTTATGGAGGGTGTCAATGATGGTTTTCTGCACAACTGTCAGGTCAGCAGTCTTTCCCATGATTGTGATTCCTACTGAACCAGACTGAGAGACCATGTAAAGGCTCAGGAACCCTTTGCAGGTGGTATGGCTTAATCAGCTGATTAGAGTGGAACACTTTGAGCCGAGAATATTGCACCTTTTCACAATATTCTCATTTTCTGAGATTGTGGATTTGGTGTTTTCATGAGCTGTAAGCTATAATCATCACAATTATGACAAATCACGGCTTGAACTATCTTGCTTTGCATGTAATGAGTCTATCTCATATATTAGTTTCACCTTTTAAGTTGCATTACTGAAATAAATGAAGTTTTGCATGATATTCTAATTTTTTGAGTTTCACCTGTAGGTAGTGAACCTATGATTTCATGGTATGTGGAGAGAATCAATGGTTTACTTTAGTTCCCCCAAACCAATAGCCTCCACATGGACTAGCCAGTAAAATCCAATGTTTCTGATATTACACATAAATTATAATAGATATTCCTGCATTTGGGTTTTTTTTTTATTTTAAAATTTAGGGTTTATTTATTATGCTACTAAAATGTTAGCAATTCATTGATAAGTGTAGCAGTAAGTTGTCAAACAGGTGTAAACACAGATCCCTACTGCATAAATTACACAAGTAACATCGATTCATGCCATAATAACTGCTATAATGGCTGCTATATGCTACATGTACATTAAGGGAATTGAAAACTAACTGATGACCATCAAAACCCTTTTTTCCTTTCCTCGATGATAGCTATGAATTCATGATTTCTTCACACATCTGATATGGACAGAAGATGCAGCAAAATTATGAAAAAAGGTGCCAACTCAACATCTACACCTTTCATTATGATCCTACTAGCATAGCAAGGACTTAATATCTTCTTCTTAGATGTTTTATTTCAAGGATTCCTAAACAGATTCTCCGGAGTTATGTTATGGACCTCCTATGTTAATGGTGACCTTAGCTGAGATGGATCCAGTGTATTGGGGACTGGGGAGGGACCATGTAATAGATGCCTGATGCTGAATAACATTTAGCTTCATCAGTGGCCTCATCAGCCTCTGGAGGCCAGTGGTTCTCAGTGCTGTAAAAGTACTGTATGTCCTCCTCAGCCTCCAGGTGATTCCTGATGTATCTCCACTGGGGAAATTTCCTCTAACTTCCTGTCCTAAAGATACAACAGAAAGTGAAAGGGGTTTTTCTTAATAAGAAAACAATACACCTCTGACACTTGTCTCTAGAACAGGTGCTAGCTTTGGCAGATTGTGCTCTACTCTTGTTCCAGTGCCAGCTGTAATATTTTAGATTTCTTCTCATCCTTTTTTTAGATTTCTTTTCCCATGACCACCAGCAGGGGTGTGCCTGACATGTTTGACACCCAGGGTGGATTATTTTTTTTAGCACGTCCCCTCCACCATGCATTAATGGGTCAAAATGACATATCAATAAGAGTTTTTTTTTTAAGAAAAATTAAAATGAAAAAAATAAAGTTAAGTCAATAAAGATTTTCTTCATCTGAATGTTGTATATAAATAATGTTAGTAAAAAAACAAAAATGGTAAAAATAAAAATTAACACTGCTACTATCCCCATGTTTTACTGAAGCACAATATGCTTTGATAGTGATGGGTCCACATTATAGTCTACATTATTAGGTCTACATTCTTATTAGTCTACATTCAATCACAGTGGCCTTTTACTACATGATCAGCTCTGTCCAATGACACAGATCACCGGGTAAATACAGTTGCCGGTTATCTGCTGCACTTTCCTCATGCTGTCACAGCGTGAGGAAAGTAATGCCGATAACTGGCAATTGTTAGAGGACGGATCGGCACTGACGATCAGTGCCAGCCATCTGTGCCCATCACTGCCACCCACCTGTGCCCATCAGTGCATCCTATCAGTGCAGTCTCATCAATGCACATCGGTGAAGGAAAAAAATTACCTGTTTGCAAAATTTTATAATAAAAAAAAACCTTTTTTTTAATTTTTAGCTTTTTTTGTTTAGCGCAAAAAAATAAAACACCCCAGTGGCGATTAAATGCCACCAAAAGAAATCTCTATTTGTGTGAAAAAAATTATTTAAAGTTCATATGGGTACAGTGTTGCATGACCGTGCACTTGTCATTCAAGGTGCAACAGCGCTGAAAGCTGAAAATTGGCCTGGGCAGGAAGGGGGTATAAGTGCCCAGTAGGCAAGGGGTTAAAGAGTAACTTCACATTTGTTGAGAAAAAAAAAAAAACTGTTCTCCTCTGGGTGATCTATGTACGTTGTAGTGATTTTAACAAACCTTGTTATTCCAAAGAAATAACTTTGTTTTTCTGTGTCCATGTGCAGAGTGAATCTAATGGGAGTGATTTTATAATTGTCAATCACCTGCTGCACCTGTAGGGCTCTAATGAGGAAAGTGGCAGGTTTTGCATTCATTTGGATGTGTTTTTTTTTCTTTGGTAGTATCTCACTAAAAATGACATTTTTGTTGCAGGGGATGCCCAAAATCTGACTTGTATCTTAGTTCAGATGTCTGGGACAATCACTAAGCCAATCACACAAGCAGGAAATTACATTTCTTAGGGTGTTCTGTACACCATCTGTGTACAGAACACCTCCAGGTAGCCCTACTGCATTGAACTTTACAGAAAATTACTGTGCTGCAGATTGAGCTGCATTCACATGTGTGTTTTGTAGCTCAAAGCTCCAAAAACGCTCAGACTTAAAAAATCAATTGTTCTCTATGGTGCTTGTTCCCCTGATCAGGTGTGACAAGCACCATAGAGAACAATTGATTTTTTAAGTTTGAGCTTTTTTTGGAGCTTAAAGCTACACAATGCTCAAGTGTGAATGCAGCCTGAAAAGGGAAGGTAATTTTTAATAATATTCAATGACAATAGGACTTTGAAAATTATATTTTGAAATTATACATGCTATATTAGTTTGTTTAATATGCTATTCCCCCCCCCCCCCCCCCCCCCCCGAAAGTGGTGCTACACTTTAAAGACAAAACAAAAAACAAATCTAATTTAACATGTCTATATTGAACACACCCATGAACTAAACAAATTAACGCTGTCACCTTCAGGCTGCAGTGGTAGGCTTGTTTTGTCAATGAAGTTACAGCCTACATGTGACCTCTTTGTCTTTACTGACATAATGATCACATAGTCAAAGAGCAGGGCCCTCGAACCCCTCGTGTATTGTATTGTTACTGTCTTGTCTCATGTTCTGTCCCCCTTGCTACTGTACAGCTCTGAGCAAACCCTTTGGCGCTATATAAATACTGTATAATAATAATAATAATATTAGTCATGAAACACTGATTGGGTCTCAGTGGGGACCAGTGAGCCATCTGTGACAGTTGGGTTTAAGAACCACTAGCTGTGCAAAGTTGTGGCTGGTGACTTATAAATGGAGGATGTTTATCAATTGTATCCCCTGCATGGATCACCATGCTGAGGAATGTTAATATTCAGATTGCAGTTGGGAAATTGTTAACTAATGCATAGACTCCAAAGGAATCCTGTACAGTATCAAGAAAGAAGACAGTTCCTGTCAGCAATATTAGAAAAATCCTTCCAGATATTTATCTATACACCCTTTGTGGTGGGGCAACATGAAGAGGGGGATGAAACACAATCACCAATTCCTTTGCAATGTTACATTCTTCTCCTGTGTTGAGGCTTCATTCCTCCTCCATTGTCATTGTGCAGCTTTACTGGAGACCAACACGCTATAGAGAGATCATTTGTTGAGAAAATTATGGTGGTGGACTACTCTCAAAGAATGAAGCAAAGAGATTAAAAATGTACAGTCACCGTACACAGTCCAAAAACAAACATAGTGGGGTTTATTTACTAAAGCTGGAGAGTGTAAAATCAGGCTCACTTCTGCATAGAAATCAATCAGCTTCCAGGTTTTTTTGCCAAACCTTAATTGAACAAGCTGAAGTTAGAAGCTGATTTATTTCTATGCAGAAGTGAGCCTGATTTTGCACTCTCCAGCTTTAGTAGAAAAACTCCCGTGCACACAGACCGCACACACCCCACAGGCAGATTCAGTAAAAGTGCATCCTTAGAATGTGTATGTGAAATTGAAAGAACCAATAGGTTAAAACAGGGTATCTGACCCTAATCCATTAAACTCTGCAAATATTGTCTCTAACAATTTGCTCTATTTTCACACTTCAATTTAAATGCTGCCAGTAATTCTAACAAAAGACAGAGAAGTATACATTTGTGTATATTTAAGTGTTTAACATCCCACACCATAAACAACTTGATTAGAATCCATTTCCTTTAGCTCATGAATGTGACAAGGAAATTACCAAACTAATTTTGGTTCTCTTATATACATCACTCTGCTCATTACTAAAAACAGATTGAAAAAAAAGATCCTCTTTGCAGTAACTGTATGTACAATAGATAGGAAATTGTGCAATATGACTGTAAAAGATGTACAGCATGTGTGCTTTCTTGTCTCATACTACTGCAGTCTATATCCCTCTTTTTTTTTTTTTTTTTTTTTTTTATTTCATTCTCGGTTAACTAGAACAGTAATTGTAATAAGGCCAATGACACAGGATTCAGATTTTATGTTTTAATAGTTACAAAGAATCTCATAAGAATGATTAAACAATAACAATTGCAATACACTGATATCGAAATGCCTTTTTTCTTTTTTTTTTTTTTTTTTTTTTTTTTTTTTTTTTTTTTTTAGAATATATACATAAATGTTTCATTATCTATACACACAAACTAAATTTCAGTGGCTGACAGATTATCTCATAGGTTTACTGAATTTTCCAATTGGTCTCCAGTACTTTGAGGGGCTTTTTTCTCCTCTAACATCTGCAGTCTTTTAATAGATAAGTCCCGACGAATGAGACTTGGGCCCCATAATCCCTGAAATCCACCAGCAGAGGCTGAGCGTTTTTCTGGTCAAATAAGAAGAAAGGTATTTATAAATGTAGTTAAGGTGTTCTGCCCCTTGATGCCCCAAGGTAGTCTTTCAGACTCCTCTTTCCCCTGTGTGTGGTTGTCTGCACCAAAAGAGAAAGCAACTAATGGATTTTTGAAAATGAAACAAGGAAGCCAATTGTTTTCTGGGGCCATCACAGACATCATGCTGACCTATTAAAATGCTGCTCATGTGAAGGTTATCATAGTATCCCACATAAAAACTTTGTTGCAGAAGCATTGTATATGATGTTTGTAAACAATATGTGTTGGGGCTTACTAGTTTTTTTTGTCCTGCATGAAATATGTTTTCAGGTTACTTTTACCAACAAAGTATGTAAAGTCAAACCAAAATTACTGAAAGTAAACGACTTCACCACAAATTAAACAGTCTGATTTTCACTCTTCCATGAACAAACACTAAAAAAATCAGAGAAGACACCCACGCTCATTTCAATGTTACTGTTCTTAACCCCTTCATGGCTAAGGGTAAAACAAACCTAAATGCCTAAGCACAATTTTGCAACGTTGACATGTGTTAGTAAAACCGTACATATCATCACAACTACTATGTACATCCAGGTGAATTATACTTGTTTTTTTCAGGACAAATTGGGCTTTCATTTGGTGGTAAATGGTAATGGATATCTCCTGATTTTTTTTTTTTTTTTATATCAAAGGTAAACTGGCCCAAAATGGTAAAATAATACTTTTTTTAATTTAACTTTGTGTTTCTTGTTACTACCATAACCTACCACCAAAGAACAACCCAAAATAAATTCTCCAGCTCTTGACGATCGCATCATATATGTGTATGTTATTTGTTGTTTGTACCCGTAGTACAGCCCAGAAACAATAGTGCGCATTTTGTTTTTGTCTTTTTTTTTTTTTTTACCTAAAACACACCAATTTTTTTTAATCCTGACCTTTGACCCTGACCTTTTGACCCAAACACTAACCCTGCACTAGATCAAACCTTGATCTAGGTATTTTTTTTCTTTTATTTATCTTTTTTTTTTTTTTTACAAACTTTTTTTTTCTCTCTATTGCCAGGAGTTAGGAGATACAATGTATCTCTCTTCTCCATTTATAGAGAAAAAAAACAAGGGGGCTGGGCTGTACAGTGACTGATCACTGTGATAGCCAATCAGAGGCTTTCACAGCGATCATGTGAGCCGGAATCTGGAGTCCTGGGTCCCGATCGGTAGAACGGGACCCGGGGCTCTCTATGACACTGAAGTCTTTGTGCTGAGAGCGCGCTGTGCGGCGCTCTTCCAGCACAAAGACAGGTATGCAAATATGCAGCCCCACGGAAAAAAAGCCCAGTTCCGTGAGGCCGCATATTTGTGTTACGTCAGCGTCAAGGGGTTAAATAAAAGCTAGCATCTGGGTTTTTTTACGAGTTTGTGGGATTTAACCTTTAAATACGGAAAGGCTTCTTTATGATAAGAGCTGTGAAAATGTGTAGTAAACTCCCTCTGGTTTTTAGTCAGCTCAGTAAATTGTTTTTTTTAAAAGGCCTGGATTTTTTCCTAAATGCACATACTATAACTGGATACTAATATTTATAGGATTTTATGATTAGGAATTTATTTCCCTTTCTGGAGCAACCTGGATCATGCTTTATTGGGGGTTTTGCCTACCTCAGGATCAATTGTGGGTATAGGATTGTGTATATATGATGTCGCTCCATTTCCTCATGCTTAACTTCTCAAAAACAGAGCTCCTTGTCTTTCCCCCTGCTCACACCCCCCCCCCCCATCCTATCCATCACTACCAACAACACCACCATCAATCCCGCCCAGCAAGCCAAAGTCCTTGGCGTCACTCTGGACTCAAACCTTTCCTTACAACCTCATGTCAAATCACTTACAAACACATGTAGGCTCCACCTCTGCAACATCGCCAAGATACGCTCCTTCCTTACCCCAGACACCACTAAACTACTCGTTCACTCCCTAATTGTCTCACGCCTTGACTACTGCAACTCCCTTCTCACCGGCCTACCCCAGTGCAGGCTCTCCCCACTTCAGACCATCCTGAACTCAGCGGCTAGACCAGGGGTGGGCAAACTTTTGACTTGAGGGCCGCAATGGGTTCATATATTGGACCCGGGGGCCGGACCAAGAGTAGATGAATGATGTGTATGTGTCATCCATAGTAAGTATAGTAATATTCCCCCATAGTAAGCATAGTAATTAATCCCCCATAGTAATTAATCCCCCATATAGTAATTAATCCCCCATATAGTAATTCATCCCCCATAGTAATTCATCCCCCATATAGTAATTCATCCCCCATAGTAATTCATCCCCCATATAGTAATTCGTCCCCCATATAGTAATTCGTCCCCCATAGTAATTCATCCCCCCTATAGTAATTCATCCCCCATAGTAATTCATCCCCCATATAGTAATTCATCCCCCATATAGTAATTCATTTCCCCCACATAGTAATTCATCCCCCATATTAATTCATCCCCCATATAGTAATTCATCCCCCATATAGTAAGTCCCCCATATAGTAATTCATTCCCCATATAGTAAGTCCTCCATATAGTAATTCATTCCCCATATAGTAAGTCCCCCATATAGTAATTCATTCCCCATATAGTAAGTCCTCCATATAGTAATTCATTCCCCATATAGTAAGTCCTCCATATAGTAATTCATCCCCCATATAGTAAGTCCCCCATATAGTAATTCATCCCCATATAGTAAGTCCTCCATATAGTAATTCATTCCCCATATAGTAAGTCCCCCCATATAGTAATTCATTCCCCATATAGTAAGTCCCCCATATAGTAATTAATTCCCCATATAGTAAGTCCCCCATATAGTAATTCATTCCCCATATAGTAAGTCCTCCATATAGTAATTCATTCCCCATATAGTAAGTCCCCCATATAGTAATTCATCCCCCATATAGTAAGTCCCCCCCCTGTGTCAATTCACTTACCTTTTGGTCCGCGCGTTCCTCTCGTATTCCCGCGCCGTTCTGGTCTTCAGGGAGGACTGTGAGAGGAGTTCGTCACGCTGCCCCGCCTACATCCTGACAGCTGCAGAGTCCTGACGTCCGAGAGGAGGGAGGGGGGCGGCCATCCGAGAGGGGGGGGCGGCCATCCGAGAGGAGAGGAGGGGGAGGGGAGAGGAGGAGAGGAGGAGAGGGGGAGGGGAGGAGGGGAGGGAGGGAGCGGGCGCCCCGCACACAGGAGAGCCGCATCTAAATTTGTAAAGAGCCGCGGCTTGCCGACCACTGGCCTTGCGGGGGGAGCCTAGCTCCGCGGGCCGGATTAAAAAAGGTCCGCCGGGCCGTAGTTTGCCCATTGCTGGGCTAGACTGATCCATCTCACCAACCGCTCCACCTCTGCCACCCCCCTCTGTCATTCCCTCCACTGGCTCCCGGTTGCCCAACGCATCAAATTCAAACTACTGACTCTGACCTACAAAGCCATTCACAACACTGCCCTACCTACCTCACCAACCTGATTCCCAAGTACCACCCTACCCGTACCCTTCGCTCCTCACAGGACCTCCTTCTGTCTTGCTCCCTGGTCTCCTCCTCCCACGCATGACTGCAAGACTTCTCCAGGTCCTCCCCCATCCTCTGGAACTCACTGCCCCAATCCATCAGATTGTCGCCTTCCCTCCTCACCTTCAGGCGCTCCCTGAAAACCCACCTCTTCAGGGAAGCCTACCCCACCCTTACCTAACAGCCATCCTCCTTCATTTCTCCTACCACTCCATCCCCCACAGCCACTTCCTCCTGTGCCACTACCCCCTCCCTCCTAGATTGTAAGCTCGAAAGAGTAGGGCCCTCTAACCCCTCGTGTGCTGTTTGTTGTTGCTGTGCTGTTTCATGTATTGTCCCCCCCCCCCCCACTATTGTACAGCGCTGAGCAAACCCTTTGGCGCTATATAAATCCGATGTAATAATAATATGGAGGTTTTCCATTTGTGTATGCGTGTGGGTTGAACTGGATGAACTTGTGTTTTTTTTTTTCAACCAACTAACTATGTAACTATAGCAGATGCTAGTGGGTGCACCCCCCAGTACAACAACAAAAAAAAGTAAAGAAAGAAAAGGCAGTGCTACCTCCTCACAATCCTGTGTGAGCCAAGATAAAACAATTCACTCAAAAACTCTATAGAGTGCAAGCATGAAAAAAATGTGTATACTTTTAAAAAATATTCATGTTTACAATACTATGCAGATGTGTACAAAAAAATAAAGCAATATGTAATAAACAAAAAAATTAAAGAAAAATCGCACTAGGGCTTAAATATGTGAAAACAATAAACAGCAGCTGACACAATACCCTAATACCTGGTAACATAATCATTATGAATTAAAATATATGTGCAGAAATAGAAGTTCTAAAACGAAAGCTAAATGTCCCAAATGAAGAGCTGAAAGACAAATCAGATCTTCTGTGTATAGCAAGAGGAAACTAACCGTAGATCCCCACAATAAAGCTGCGCACCACCTCAGTGTGAATAGAAAGGGGGGGCTTATCAGAATTGAGTAACCCCAGTAATGAGTGGTCATACAACGCTTTGCGCACTCCAAAAGGATATCCAACTCTCCCTTGATGGTCAAACAACCACACCACCACAATCTCTCAGGTCAGTATACAATTGGGCTCAAATACACTGCTCAAAAAAATTAAAAGAACACTTGGAAAATGCATCAGATCTCAATGGGGAAAAATATCATGCTGGATGTCTATACTGAAATGGACTGGGTAATGTGTTAGGAATGTAAGGATGCCCCATCATTTGATGGAAATTAAAATTATCATCCTACAGAGGACTGAATTCAAAGACACCCCAAAAATCAAAGTGAAAAAATCATGCAGCAGAGTAGTCCGTTTTGTGGAAATTTCATTGCAGCAACTCAAAATGGTACTCGGTAGTTTGTATGGCCCCCACGTGCTTGTATGCATGCCTGACAACGTCGGGGCATGCTCCTAATGACA